ATATATATATATATATATATATATCAACCGGGCAGCTGCAGAAAGGGTGTTCCGAACTTAAGGACAAATTCACACTTCCTGACAATCCTGTCCTTCATCAAGGAGGTTTGTCGAATGCTTTTCAAGAACATGAAAGAAACAAAGCCGGTGATGCAGAACCCAGAAATAGTTGCCGCGGGATGTCAGTCACGTCCTGACAACATCTATAAAGCCATTTTTAATAATGACCTAGTTTGGCGCAACATTTACGAAACCGGTTCGCCACATGGGAGGCTCAGTATGAAGTCAGACAACCAAGGCACACGCACATACACATACAAACAGATGTGTTTACTTCCCCGGCCAGATACACAAACAAAACACACAACAGTAAACGCTTCGAACAAAACGCCCCGTTTACAATCGATGTGGCTGCGCACGTGCTTATGATTAACTTTCAGGCGGTAGATGAGGAACAGAACTGATGGCGACTTAGATACACCCGTGTTTACCAGAACTGCAGATGAACGAAATGGAATCGAGCATGGAACGAGTTGACGAGCTCTCCTGAACTCCTGTTAAAGCATCAACCCGGTCAAGGCATCAATAAGCTATGTATGTGTATATCAGTTATGAACGTGCTTAGAAGAATGGCGAGGCAAAAGGTTTCGAAAATGAAGAGAGCAAGGTTTTCTTTTGTGTTGGTTCGGTTGCGATCCTTCTCGGTGCACAGCTGATATGTAGACTAAGAATAGCACAAAAGAATGAATTTCGCCAGGTTTCTCGGGCGCAACTAAGCGTGAGCGAAGAATGGAGGGTGGGAACCATCGTTCTTCTGACCTCCAGTCAGACGCCTTAACCGCTGCGTTATCTCGAGCTCAGACTGAGAACGACAAACTATGCAGCGAACAAGATATCACCGGTTCCGCTACTGTGCGTCCATTTATAAGAACGGCTGGCGAAAAGTGACGTTCACGTGAACTCATCACAATAGGCAATCGGTTCAATTTAGACATAAAATCTATCCCTAATCGTCTGAGTCACCAAGAGTCAACCGCACATCCAAAAAGTGAACGGACAGAGACAAGCTTGGCAAGCACAATAATCATAACGCGAGGCTAGAAGAATCGGTCTGATGCAGCTACACAGACATTATTTCGAGTAGACTGACAAGGTGAACTGGGAATGTCCTCTGACAGACGATTAGAAGGAATTCCACCATCAGGCGAGCTAATTTATGATGATGTAATCGTCCGTGGCAACACATAAAAGCTGTTCAAGTCCACAGCAGACACCACAAACCGCAGACTTCTAGTTCAAGCATCAGTGGTTACCGACAAAGGAAAGGAGTATGAAGAAATAAGACGGTGTCTGTACCCAGCGGTGGTCAGAAACACATTCTGACGGATGTAAGATAGCTATTGTACTGTTCGACATCCTGCATGAACTGGTTCACTGGCATATTCTACATTTCACTGTGTCAGTGACAAGTCTGCACACAACTGCTGATAGGATACTTGCCAAAGTGAAACAGCAATCAAGCAGAGCACCGGATTCAGACCAAATGGGATTATAATCGGCATAAAAGATGTCCCATGATGATCATTATCAATTCAGTCTAAAAAGCCCATGGTAAATCTCATGTAAACGGGATCCAAATGGTCCCTGTAAAAGATGATAAAATGAGTTTTCGGAGGAGGGTGATAACATGGATACGGTTAAATGTCAGTAGAGAGACGTAAAAACTGAAAGTGACCGTAAAAGGTCGTTCACCTCATGCATAGCTCAAAAATCATAGACAATGATTAGAAAGGAGCGCAGATGAATCGACTCATCCACGATTGACTATACAGCCTTGGCAAGCGGACAAATACCGGTTCTGGTGGAGCGTAAAACAGATGTACCATAACTACGCAGGTTGCAGACTCTCGAGCATCGATGAGGAACAGAGACAAAAACCGTCCAGTTGTAGCACCCTTTCCTTGTCTAACTGCCATGCCATCCGAAGGTTGCACGAGGGCTGGGATACTGCCAGGTTGCCCAAGCCTAGTCAGGGGAAGTCGAGAAGCAGAGGTCGGGTTCAAAACACGGACCTTTCGGTCAGTAAATTCGCGCTCTAACCACTTGGACCATCCCGCCCCTATAGAAAGAACAGGGACAATCAGGATACAGCACCCGATGGAAAGTAAGCACACAGTGCACGCACGCTGCGATGGTGGGATCTGGCCAGCATATGAACCAGTTTGTGTACGACTGATCTGTCAGTTTCAGTCTCAACTTTTGTTTCAGTTTTTCGATCATAAAAGCATGAAGTTACGAGGTAGAGCGAACCCTTCGCATACGGGGAAAAAGTCTGGAAAAATTTGACAGGTTTTCTTCACACATAGGTCATGAACTGCATGCCGCATTCTTGTGACTGCTTACATAAAAAGGCAGTAAACTCAATCCAGGGGCCTGGAGCGGCGAACCACACAAGACTCCTGCTATATGTCGAGCGGTGGTGGCAAAATGGATGACATTGTGAGTTGTGTGCCACTTATGAATTACGGGTATGAAGTGTCGATTTAGTAGGTCGGCAGGTATAAAGAATTGCTACCAACGTCAAATTTACACACAAGCTGGAAGGCTAGCATTAGTAATTGTTCCAAACCGAATGAGAATAACCCCCATTCATGATGCCAAACAAAGAAGTGACACACTAACTTCTCTTGAATGGCAAAATGGCACTACGCACTTATTTGCACTTCGACTGGATAAACTTCGAAATCGCTTTGTACAGGCATCCTATCCGAAGGAAAAAGCTTTCATTTATGACCTGGCTTTTGATAAAAGGCAAGTTTTTTAATAACAAAAATTGTGTGTGGGCAAGGATACAAATGGTGAGGGAACGTAATCAATAAAAATAGCTACCTTAAGTTCGGGCCACGACGGTGGATTCAACAGTCCTTGTTTGTAGGTGGCCAGACATTGTTCCAGTGCTTGGACGTAGCTGCGCTCGGTCTGGATGAGCTCGTGAAGCAAATTCTCCCGACGGCGAATCATTCGTCGTTGCTCTTGCGTCGGACCGGTAGCTGACGCGGCAGAACCCGAACCAAGGAAGACATCGCTAGCCCCGGTGCTTGTGCTACCGGCACCAGAACTGCTAGTGCTTGACACCGACGTTCTGTACACAATCACAAATAAGAGTATATGGAAAGAGCCCAAAGTTTGTCAAGCGAAATCAACATAATAATTGTGGATTCATATTGAGAAGAAAGTTGGTCGGTGTTATATATCAGGGTCGACAAGCGGCACTTACCTATCAGTATCCGTATCCGGTCGCTTCGGTCGAGGAGCAATATCCAGACGGCTTGCGACTGAGGCTGGCGCGGATAACTTTCGTTGTTCGCCCTGTGGCTTTTGAGATACATCTTGACCACTGATACTTAGTTTTGCAGTGACAGTCGAGGGAGACGGTTGGGGAAGTGTGGATTGCAGCCGCTTTAGAAGCGATCTCAGCTGGGTTGTATGGCCCGGTGACAAGGGCATCGAGGCAGCAATCATTGACTCCAAACTTTCACAGGCTCGATTCACCTCTTGACAGAGTGAAGAGGCTAGCTGACTGGAGACTGTCATGCCAATATCTTTGGACGGTGAATGCATCAGGCTGGACTGTTGTTGTACACGGGTGAGGAGTTCCTCGACTCGGCCCTGTATGTAGGAACATGGGGAAGGGGTTGAGATCACATCTATGATTAGCGCGAACCTACCTAGCAAGGTCAGTGGTCAAATAAAGACAGAAAGATTTCAGCTGGGCATCCTTTCAAAGAATTACTGTCATCAATCGATGGAAGCACGAGGGTTGAGTCGATGCGAGGTCACCTAGGCCTAGATAGGAACAATCGAAAACCAATGTTGGGTTTAAACCACACAGCTCTTGATTAGTAGCTTCGCGTATTACCAGCTGAGCTATTCGTAGCTTGAATTAAAAATAGATACAGTGCGCGTAATGACTAGAGACAGGACAAAAACGCATACTCACCTTGATGTTGATGAAGTATATACAGTCGTCTAGACGGCGACGTCTAACAGCCCAAGCCTCAAGAACGGCCTGTTCTTTGGCCATTAGTTCTGACATTGCAGTCCGCATTTTCTCTTCCACTTCCTTTCGACCCGGTGTTGTGGGAGACTGACGATGCAGATAGCGGCTGAACAAGTCCGATGTACGCCTAGCGTTGCACAGTGAGAGAATGAAGGAACAAACATAAGACGGGCGTTGTCTAGCTCAAAACTAGTACGATTTAAAGATGGATGGATGATGGTGGACAATATTCAAGCAGAACCAGTAGAAAGAAAATAGATCGCTCAGCTGTAGCACCCTTTTGTTGCTTAACTGCCACGCCACTAGAAGGAAGCACGAGGGCTGAGACACTGCCAGGTTGCCCAAGCCTAGACAGAGGAAGTCGAGAGGTAGTGTCTGGGTTCGAACCACGGATCTTCCAGTCAGTGAATTCGCGCTCAAACCACTAAGCCATCTCGTCCGACGGAAAAGATCGAACCCGATGGTGCAACCGTAACTGAACTGGATCGAAATAAACTTTATAGTAGCTAACCCAGTTCGAAAATAGGTCGTGGATACCAGTTTAGCGCAAGACTGCATCTACCATTCAGCTCCAACTTCGAAACCATCAAACGTATCAAGGGGAAAACCTGCCACATTGTTTCCTTACTTGTGGAATGTAAGGTGCTCCTGGACACAGGGGCATATCATGGAATGTACTTGTAAGCTTTGCGGCCAGAAAGTGCAAGGACGTTCGTTGCAAGTTTCCTCCGAGGACCACATGAGATGTCCAACACCCCATCCATCCTTTCCTATATGTTGCGGTTTCAACTTCCAATACTCGACCAAAATGCATACACATCTTTGCACACACTATAACCTCCACTAACTCCACTAGACCCTACTTAGCCCGACATCTGGTTAACAGAACCTTTTCAAAGGGTAGCATTAGGTTATAGCTTATGGCTTGATAGTTTGTGTATGGAATCAAATATGTGCACTCTCCATCCCCATACTTTCATAAGCTCGGCGATAACTCTGTACGTTGAAAATTTACTTCCGGTCGCACGAAGTTCTGCTTGGCTTGATGTGGAACATCCCGAGAAAGCAAAGAAAATGGGTTTACTCGGGACAGGAATTCGTCCCCACAAACGCACAACTTAACCATGGAGTTTATCACTAATGACGGCAACATCAATGTTGCTAAAGCATTGTAATTTACTGGAAAGGGGAAGGAAAAATCTGAAGTGCCCGAAACTAAGGCCATCAATAGGAGAATCTGGCAGCGTCGCGTGTTCAGACATTCGTTGTCAGGCGCAAGGTGGGTCGTGTGGACCCGTTCCTGGAAACTACATCACACTCAAAATAAAGATAACTTTGTCAATTCTGTATCCTGTCAAGCCATACAATGCCCACTTCTGGGCCTCCACCAATCCGAACTCAAAATGCGTGGCACATCATCAAGCTGACACAGCTTGTGGCGTAGGATGAAATCATGAAGTGAGCTAACTACCACATCATTCGTTGTTCTCTCGAATGCACTTCCATTCCTTCTATTCCTCATAGTGTTCGGCCTGATTTGTTTCGTAACGACGTGCAGAAGCAGCGCTGCCCACTTTCAAATATAAACACCCTCGGCACTCTCTTCACCTGGCGGTATTCTACACAGCACAAATAGTCAAGACGTTATCATCATCACCATCATCATCATCATCATCGACAGCGTGACATCAGTACTTAGCACTGTCGCTTCACTGTCAAGACGTACCTAACGAAGACGAAATCCAGTACACAGCTACATTCCGTGCAACTATTGGTTGCGCTTCACCAAAACTGAGACTGGATTCAGTATACTAAAGAAACGAGCAAATGGATCAAGCATCACAATCATGCCACAGTGTTACAGTAACAACGGCGAGTTGGTCAGCAATGTGCCCCACCACTTCTCACAAGAAAGGTCATCATTTTCGCCACAGGTTGCTACCACAATTGCTCCACCTCTGAAGAGACCGACCAAAATTACCAGGGGTGACCAGAAACTGACCCAAACAAGGTCTCTTCTGCAGAATGGGGGCGAGATGGACCAAGTGGTTAGAGCGCGAATGTACTGACCGGAAGGTGCGTGGTTCGATCCCGACCTCTGCCTCTCGACTTTCTCTGTCTAAGCTTGAGCGACCTGGCAGTGTCCCGGTCCTCGAGCCTCCTTCGTGCGGCATGGCAGCTAGCCACCGAAAGGGTGCTACAGATGAACTTTTTTTCTGCAGAATGGTTATTCCAGAAGACAACTGTAATCCATAATGTCGTAATCGAACTCCTAAGAGTTGGCTGCTGAAGCAGTCACAAAAGAATTTGACTGGAAATTGAAACTGTAAAACTTGTTCGCCCTGAGGCGAGCCAATACTTTTAAAGTCCATATACCAGAGACATCCACTAAGAATAACCAAGCCAACGCAGGATACGTATGATTAGTTTTGCCTGAATTACAGCAGACGGAACTACCAATTACTCAGCATGAACACACCTTGCAAGCATACAAGCCTTCAGAAAGGCTTCTTTCTGTTCGGCGTGCTTCATTGATAGTTGATTCAGATAGCCAGCAGTGTCGGACATGGCCTTCTCATTCTGGCACCAATCTTCTTCACGACGGTATTCCTTTTCCAGAGACCAGAGGACCGAAGTAACCTGGTCCGACGTTTTGTACCTTGAGATGGAAAAGTCAGAGACAGTTGAGGAAATGAAATGCAGTCACGTCACGATTAATCAGGGCAAATAAAAAAAATAGACGACAAACATCAAGAGGTAGGTCCCGTATGTTCTTGTTTAAACTTTGAAAAATGCATCCGAACATAACGGCTTAAGCTGCGCTTGATCGGGAAATTTATTTGGTAGAAAGGTGTTTCAGGTCCACTAAGGATATCAAAAATATAACTTACCAAACTCGACCTATTAACTACTGCATACTGGCTCATGGATGGCATGCAATATGGCTTAAGGCCATCGCCGGGTCATCACTACCCCGGAAACAACGCCACACCAACTTCACGACCGGAATCTTTCAGAACGACAGCATGAGCGTGCTCCAGTCCAGCATCCTAGCTGTCACAAAACTCGCTTATAAAATCAATTAATAAGACTCGAGTATCACACATTTCGAGTAAGTGCGCATAAAACAAGCACGGACGATGAAGCTCAGGAACTACACTGTTGGGACAAACGCAATCCACTAACAAATATACGCTCGGGAAATATTTTTACAACCCCAGTACACCCGAGCCTGAGCGATGATACTCTTCCCCAACAACATAACCACTTCTGGAGGGCCTATTCGAGGCTATTTACCGAAAACTCTTCTGCTAATTACCTCGATCATGAGAGTGTCATTATTTCGCATGGTTGCAACCCCCATTTGACGGCCTACAGTCAAGGCGAGCGCTGTGGGATCTTCGCGCCTTTTTGGGTAGAGTCCACGTTATCCTTCTTATACGTCGCTGGATACCCTGCGGCACGTAACCGGTCCTTTAAACAAGACAGCCTAGCTGATTATTTTCTCCTTTACCTCCAACCTTTAATAAGACCTTTATTCATGGTTGTTGGGTTATGCACCAGTTTCTACTACCGGTATGTTGTTGTCTGTGATAAAGATGATGCATTATAGTTGACATTGGTTCTTTTTGGTTCCAACCGACCGCTGCGTTCTATCCCCTTTCTTTTCCGCAACGTACATCAAACGGTGTACGCTACTCCTGTCGTTAATTGGTAGCAAAAATAGTGACAAGTGTTATTGTTTGCACATACTTTGTTTTCTGGTTTCAGAATGCTTTCAACAACACTATGAACAGGGCTTTAAGATCTCCAACCTGAACGCGCAAAAGTAGCTGTGTGTTCCACTGACGTTTCAGCGGTTCTTGTTACCACGGCGATGTGCAGAATTACTGCTAACGACCAAGATATTCCCAACTACGCTGCTGACAGATAGTTGGGTGTGATCTTGACCCATTATCTTTCCTGGTCCATGCATGTTGAGTCCGTGTCCGGTGAAGGGGGACGGCTCCCTTTTTATTCTTTGAGGTTGAGGAATCTGTTTGTACCGCGGCACTACGTTCTTAAGTTTGCGATTGTCCGCGGTCTTTCACATAAGCTTTGATGTCCCAAGTTGTTTACCCAAAGTTGTAAAATGTTATTCAAGTGCAGCGACACACATTTTGTTCTGAAGATTCTACCGGATGCTATTCAACCTGGTATGTTGAATCGCTGAATTCTATAGTTTCGTAATAATATAACTGTTCGGTTGTAACACCCTTTAGGTGCTGAAATGCCAGGCTACCTGAAGGGGGCACGACGACTTGGGTACACCCAGTTTGTCCAAGCTTATACAGGGGAAATCGAGATGTCGAGGTTGAACTTGAACGGCGGACCTTTCGATGAGTAAGTTCGTGCGTTAACCATTGTGTTATCTCAAGCTCTTCGAGGTCTAGTTCAGAGTTCGGGGTGTGCTTCAGATGCATGCGCGAATAATCTTCGACCTAGTGTGTTACAGTAAGCTCATGTCTGAAGTCAAAGCTCGCCTTCTGGTGCACTTTTTATTTTGTCATACATTTGTTAAATCGGTTTGTACTATAAGCAATGAAACCGCACTATTCAAAGATATATAAAGCGACAAAGCAAAGTTAAGCACACTAACCTAAACCATAATGTCACCAAGAAGTCACACGTACCAGTTGGTGGCTGCTACCAGGAGCTTATGCCGATCTTCGGCTGCATAGACCAACTTCTGCCAATGTTCCGTCACCGCTTCTCCAACAGCACGGAAGTCTTTGCGTCGTGGATGTTCCATAGCACTGCTACCGCCCGTGGATGATGACAGAAGACCTGAACTGCTGGAGTAGTTGGCCGTCTGATGCAAAAGCAGACTGGCCTTAGAAGCACATTGGACGGCTCTTGGATGAGCTTCGTTGAGGACTGGCTGGAATTTCTCGTGTTCCGTCTGCAAACTTTGGGCTTCAGAAAGATTGGCCGGAATAATGGCTGTATCGCGCATCATATCTTCACACTGACTGATGCGAAGCAGGACCTGTTTGAAGGTAATTCAGAGTTCGATAAAATCGGTCGACACAGAGATCTAAGTCTTGAGTAAGGGGGAGTGGTCGAAAAAGCTTCTACTTGACAGCCACTCACCTGTTTGCTTTGCTGTTCAAGACGTCGCCATTCCAGTTCCCCGTTGATTTTTTCGTTTAGTTCATCAACAAAAGTAACCACTTCTGCGAGCTCATTGCTCAAGCGGTGCACACGCTCCATGGCAGTTTCGGCACTGTCACCCACACCGGAGTCACTAGATCCAGGACCACCTAACAAACAAAACAGAGAACATGGTTCAAAGACCACTCAAAATACTCAGAGCCGATTGTAATTCGAGACAGCGGAGAGTAATTAACTCACCAGCCGGAAAATTGACACCGAGGGATTCAAAAGCACGTATCAGTTCACCACCTTTGTTGAGGACTTCTTCGGCGGCCGGTAAAACTGACATGAAGATTGAAGACAGTTCTTCTAGTGAAGCAATATCGGGTGCTTGTCTAGGATCCGCTAGCCAAGCAAACTGGGATGAACTGACGGGTGACTGTGTCGTGGCCGTTGCATTGAGTAAACTATTCGCCTCATTCCTGTTGGCCAGAAGCTGACTAAAGGATGGAATGCCATGACGTAAACAGTCTAGGGCAGAATTGACATCAGCCTCGAACAACCGCAGCTGAAGACACAGATCTAACCGGACTTGACGCTCCATTAACAAAGCGGACACAGTGGATCGTTCGCTGGCAACCTGGAAACAACAAGTTGAAAAAGGACAAATGACCAAACTGGCTCGATGTATGGTTCAGATGAGCACAAAACAATGGTGAATATACCTACTTGTGCAAGAACAGATCGAATATGGGTCACTTCTTCTGTATCCTTCAGACGACTAATCAACGTCTCGCCTTCTGTGGCAACGCGGTCCGCACCCTCTTCAATCGCAGAGCGGTCTCGATGAAAATTGGTCAGTTCGTCTTCCATACCTTCAATGGTTGCCGGCAAATGTTCGCCAGTATTGTGAGATTCTTTGACCGCATGGAGCCATGCAATCACTTCTTTTGTGTGGTTGTAAAAGCCACAGCCAAGATCTACCGTTTCGCGTCGGGCCTCAACGGCTTGGGTGAAAGCCGAAATGCGGGTCAACAGTTCGTTAGCTCGCTGAAATGACCGACAAAACAAGAGTTAGACTAGATTAAAAACAGCATGCTAAAACCACTCGCGATGATCAGCAATATCACCAAGCCAGTTGTGTTTTGCTCTCGTGCATTTTTGTGGTGTGAGATGAAAAAACTTCACTTGATTCAGCAAGGAAGAGCAGTCCCCTTCTCGGAAAGTCGATAGGGACAAAATGAAGAAACTGATACCTTGGGGCTCATAAGTTCATACCGGAGAAGACACTAGTGTATGGAGCCGACACCAACGGCGCTCTAACGAACAATCCAAAGTAATGTAACTAGCAAGTCACAGTTAAGTAATGACGATAACAAAGTCGGTCCAATGGAAAAGCAAAAGGTTTCCATCAGGACAGAAAACAGATCAAAATGACGCGGAACATCTGTGAGAATCCACCCACAACGTCACCGCTAATTGACTAAAACAAAGATGCCAGCTGACCATGAATCGCATTGTAAAACACTCAATTAAGAGGATCACTATGTGTTCTATATTAAGTGAACAACCTGAATTCGTGTTCTAAGTGTGAGTGCCGGCGCCTTACGTCCACTAGATCGCCACATAACATGTGCTTAGAATGAATCAATCAGTACGCGCACATCCGCTAACGCTCATACAGTTAAGCGACCACCCATGAAGACAGCCGTCAGTCCGGTGTGCATGAGAGCGTATCGAAAAAGTGGGGTGCCCAACTTTGGCACGCTACGCTCGTAAGCTTAGCTAAACTCCAATGCGAGCATGTGCAAGTGTGTTGTCCGAAAAAAAGAAAACAAATTCGCCTGTGAGTTATGTGAATGCGCGTGTGATCAAAACCGCAGTGCAGGTCGGAAAGGCTTCCCCTCCCAAAACAAGCCAGAGCTGAACGGGAATGAGTGCATCATTCCGAAGAGGATGTCTGTCCATAAACTAACATCGCCGAATGTTCAAAGCATCAAAACAATGATCAGTACACGTCAATCTTTCGAGAACATGTAGCCACTTCGAGGTTTACCGTAACGTCCAAAACAGCCTCGAAGATAACTGACTAGGAAATTCGTGTAAAGGATAGAAACTGGAAATGTTTCCCCATCCCATGGAAAAAATCAACTGTAATACGCCTGACAGCCCTATTCATCATAGACTCAACAAGTTCTAGTGGAAACGATCCACCGAAATACGTCAACTATCCACGCTTCATGCCATTCTAAATCAGGAGATCCTAGTGCCAAAAGCTACTGATTTTTTATCACGGATTGGAGATGAGTGCAATGTTATACTGGTCGGTGGTAAAAGGTCACCAGTTGGATAACAAACGGTAGTAATATGTGAGCAGACTGGCTGGCAGGTAAATTTAAACGTGGGATAAAACAGGTTAATTTAGCGCGATTAGTCCGTAAAGGAACTATGGAGCTGGTGAGCTCCAGCAAAATATCTCTAAACGGAATTGCGACAGGTTAGAGCCTGTATACTGATAACACTGCAGAATACAGCAAAAAGGAACCAGCTAGCGGTGCATTGACACTATTCTGAAGGGACTAACGCGTATCCCAGAAACAACAACTATCGTTGAGACTATTTCTGGAACTTCCATGGAATTCTGAGACCCTGGGAAGTCTACTCATTGGCAAGGCTAAAAACCGCTTTTCTGGGAACATTTCTAGGAACATCTCCCACTTTCTCTGGCTATCGTGATCTTTTCAAAATTATCCGGATTTACTGGGTGTCTTGTTGCACTTGACAAGTGTTCGCACGCTTAGGTTTGTGACGAGTTTGAATCAATGGGGAAAGATGTTGTCCCCTTCTGAAGAGGGCAACCCTTAGAAAACCACTAAATGTAGACACGAGCAGGTGCTGGCTGCACTGCTCCTTCGGAGCTGCGCTTGACATTATTCGGTTTAAGTGTCGCCTAAATGTTTGACTTCGCTTGAAGCATTCGAAGCAGTCAGTGGTATCTGAGGTTGGGACAAAAGTGGGGCGAGGGATGCAGTGCACGCTGACTACAAACACCACATAGCCACGTGATTAGTTACCCATGAGCATCGTCACCAAAACTACTTTTATGAGCAACCAGGCGCTCAAAATTCGCACATCACCTTACGTAACCAGTAGGCCATACACTGGCGACAGAGGAGAACAAGCAGGATGGGTGCTCAATTACATGGGGTGCTTCCAAAACATACTAGATAAGATCATTTTGATTAAACGGTGTGATCGCAATTGTAGGAATTTAACCTGGGAACTGAAACGGAGGGAAATACCCCAAACGATTTGTGAAGGGATACAATTTGAACGCGAGCTTCGTTGAACCAGCCACGAATCCAGGACCATTCAGACTGTTTGTCTAAGCAAACATCAATCCTCAGGAATCGTCTAGTGATTTTCACACTTGAGATTCTGTTCGATGTTCGGAGCGAACCTAAGGTCAGATTCCGAAAGACTCTCTCACACACAGATGTACATACTTCGTGACCAGTCCCCAAATTATTAAGAATGACCTTGAAACCCGACCATAATCGGAACATCTGGGAGTTTCTAGCAAGAGTGGAGGGCGAAGTCAGTGACACAATAACTACGCTGAGCAAGTCGCTTAAAAAAGTGAGATCTGCACGAAAACGGATGTCCAGAACATTTTGCATGCCAACAGTAGTGGCAAAGTCGTCTTTACATTGGTTTCTCTTGGAAGAGATAGTCCATCCAAGGAACCGCGCTGAGTAAGCACCCTGAAAGAGACACTCAAGAGAGGCGGGAGACAATGGATTTTGGAACTGACTGACGATCACAACAACCAAGTTGTGCAAGCTTGGCAGCCACGCGAACCAGCTTTCTCAAGTCCCTGTTACAAACACTTGATAAATGAATCAAATAAGTCCTAAAGCCATCCTACAAGCGTCAATTTGTTCACCAACTCACACGACCAATGGACAATAGGATTAGTGTCACAGAAGTGGCTAGGTATAGAAATATGTACTATTAGCCTGTCTCGTGTGCCCTAATCTGCGAATCCACTGCAAACAGCAATGATGTTCCCATTTGCGAAAGCTCTGGGAGAAATCTTTTAAAAAAATTAGATCGTTCAGCTGTAGCACACTTTCGGTGCCCAGCTACCAACGAAAGAAGACACAAGGGCTGGGATACTGCCAGGTTACCCAAGCCTAGACAAGAGCGGCCAAAATACTGAACCACAGACCATCCACTTCGTAAGTAGGCGTCTCCACTACTGAACTATCTCAAGTCCAAGCTCTAAGTGAACAGCCGATCGTAGCTAACGCGAAATTTCCGGAAGGGTCAGTTGCGGTATGCCGGTAACTGCATTAGGAGGGGAAATATGGAGACAACGGTCGGAAGGTTGTGTAGATCCCCTCCCCTCACTGAGGAACGAAAAAGCGGTACTGGAAACCGCGATCTGTAAACACTAGGTCCCTGACGTACATAGAAAATAGTTTCATTGTCTACGTATGGACAACTCTGGACTGAAGCTAACTACAGACAACATGTGCACCTGGCGGCCGTCAGACGGGTAAATCTCCGAAGACAAAAACTAGCGTGCATGTGGGTATGCGCCTACCAGGTGTTAGTCAGCACACTGAACATTCTTTGAGGAAACAAACCACAACCACAGGATGCACAACATCCACGATGAAAGCCCATTAGGCGAAGTGCCGAATGTGCAAAGGTGCATCAGTTTCGTCCATTAGGAAAGGCGAAAAGTGATGCGACCGTAAACGTGGGTCAGGTAATAACGAATCGAACATCCCAGTATGTTGTTACCTGTAGCACTTCTTCGGGGTCATCGGCCTGCGCTGCCAATTCATCTGCGACCGATATAAGTTTTTCCGCATTGAGAAGGGTAGTTGCAGCAACCTGTGAACAGACAAATAAACAGTATGGATGGGTCGTTTCAGAGAACGAGGTTAGAATACTCTTAGTTCGTGGTCGTTAGAGAGCACGAACTGGTAAACATCAATATGTACGCAATATACCAGGACCTTCTCTAACTGCTGACTTCAACGTTTCAGTTCCTCAATGCAGATCACTAAGACCATGAATCAAAATGCGCCTTAACCACCGAACTATCTTGAGCTGAGATGAAAAACAGAAACCTCTGATTATGGAACAAAAAATCTCTTCGGAATATCAAATCCACGTAAGATAACTGCGAACAGGTAACGAGAATAGACATCGTTTTCAAGTGCGCCTACCGTCGTTCTTTCTAACCAGTATACGACACCAGGAAATACTTTTGATAGATTGTCAACCAGATGGAATCTGAAGGTTTTCGCAGCGTGATTTCGTTCACTTTTGCAACAACACGGAATACACTATCATCAGCTTTTCCGTCTGAGCATAGGCTATGAGTAGGCCAATGCAATACTTTAGCACTTCGAAGCAGAGTCCCGGGTTTCCTTGGATAATCCAATGTCAGGTTGGAATAGTATGTTCCCAACTCGGCTCTAGGATGCGCACAACAGAGGTTGCTGGCTCCATCCCTTGAGCTTTCTAGGAAATGCCTTGAGATGACACACATGATAGAGAACGATATGTTATTAACAGACTAATTTCTTAAGATAGCTCATTGATCACAGATGTGCCTCTATTCTGAGGCTCTCCGGTAAAGTAACATGTGCGATCACGATGGAAGACCTATAACTACGAACCCCGCTGACTATTCGTTGAATTGAGAGCTGTGTACACACTGAATATACATCCCACGCCAAGTGGGACTGAGAGCATCAGTTGTATCGGAACACTAAAAAACAGTTGACCTTTCTATGAAACTGATTCATACTCCCATCGGAGAAAAAACTGACCAAAGTAAAATAAAATAACCCACTTGTTCGAATTGCATGTGGGTATTATAGAGCTGTTCGGCTCGCTGAATCGATTTACCCACAGCTGTTTGTCGATGCAAAAATGGTTCACCGTGCTCGGTAAGCCAGGCCAACACTTGTCCGACATCTTCCTTGAACATAAGCAAAGTGAGGCGAGAATTCAGACGAGTTCTGCGTTCGTTGTAGACGCGTTCCAACAGTTTAAGCCTATCCCAGATCTAAAATGAATAATTAGGGAGGGAGAGAGAGTCGAATTGAGTATTATTCGGACAAGATGCCAAAATAGATGAAATGGCTGTACGGCGCTTTTCGGTTTTCGCGGCACGTGTTTCGAGAACACAAACTCCTACAGTACTGAGGTGGTGCAAGTAACCGGCTCCCGTGAGCATGAGAAGTTATTCGAGGAGTCAGTTGACATCAAAGCACGTGACGCGAACTGTGTAGTGCTACTTATCGCTTGAGTGTGTGGTAACACCCGGTTTTCAGCGATATGACTCAAACACTTCACTGGAAGCCTCCGAGTTCGAATTTTCACAAAATTTGTGAAAGCGAACAACTGTTGATTCCGAACAAGAAATAAGCGGTTGCACAGTATACGCCATGCGGAGAGGAACCAAGACGTGATAACGTCGAACCGTCTCGGAATGAACCCGATGATAATGGGTTGCTCAAATAGGAATCCATCAAAATACATTTGTTAGGCCAGAAAGACTCACTTCATGCACCAGATCCGTACAGTGCTTGCGACCCTGGGAGTAGTCCACCGCAGCCGTGAGTGATGTGTGAGAGCCAGTCGGTACAGGTGCACTAAGATGATCGGTCAGCGCTTTGCCATCCACACACACCTCCATATGGGCTGTTTGAGCTTCTTGCCAGTAGTTCTGCATAGCAACAGAAGAGCAGATTACAAGGTTACGGTCGAAGCATTCATCAGCAGAACAAATCGATTCGACTTGGTATTTAATCTCTCTCTCTCTATTTACCCGGAGAAAATTCACAGGCGGAACGGGAGCATAAACATCGGGGCAAAGTACGTACAACATATGGATGTCGCATTGTTGGATTTCGCTGCAACTGATGTCCTTGATTTTACGGAATATTTATCTTCTGGGCCGTAGAATGCGCAAAAGGATTTAACCACAGTGAACAGAGACAGCTGTAATTCACTTAACGAGAGTCGAAAATGAGCACGCTGAGAGAGTAAATCCTGCATGGTTTGAGAAACCCTGGTTGTCCGGTGCGAGAATAAGGAATGTTGTAAACTTGTAATTAGGACAAACGAGCACACATGAGCACTAATTCATGCGCAGCATTGTTTGGGCAACTCGCCACATGATGCGTAGTTCATAGTCACGCAGTCGTTACACAGGATGCGATTATTTGGACGTGATGGTGGTATGAGGAGTTTTGGTCGTGGGTTCGAGATTCCCTGAATCTCGTGACACACGCTGCCGATTATTCCCAACAAGGATGAAACAGCTGTACAGTGCTTCTGGGCCTCTCAGCATTGGTTAGCTTAACTCTCAGGACGAAATCTCACCTGAAGATTTGGTTTGGAAACCTCTGACATGCGAAACTTCATTCCTAGACTATTAAGTCACCCGTTCGGGGCTAGATGGCCCAAGTGGTTAGAGCGCGAATTCACTGACCGGAAGGTCCGCGGTTCGAACCCGACTTCCGCCACTCGACTTCCCCTGTCTAGGCTTGGGCAACCTGGCAGTATCCCATCCCTCGTGCTTCCTTCGGGTGACATGGCAGTTAGGCACCGAAAGAGTGCTACAGCTGAACGAAGTCACCCGTCCATCACCAGTTGAAAGCCTGAAAAAGTCTGAATAGGCGTAATACACTACACTTAAGGTTGCTGAAAATTCTTCGACAGTCTACGACCGGTTTCGCACTTCTTGGGACTCATCGGGTAGGCGCGGTCCCAGAGTTTCCGTCAACCTTCTGTTCGACTTGAACCCAAATTGCACGAAATTAGCGAAACATCATACACGAGAGATTCAGCTGGGTTCCAGGTAAGTCTCTCGCAAAACCAAATTTGTTTGTAAATGAGTGTAATTCGCTAATCTGATGTACTATTTCCAACCACTGGGAAGAGCTGAAACCGTTCGACACATCACTGTTCCGAAGAGTTACGGTTAATCCAACGATTGTTAGCAAAACCGCTCAAAGTAGACAGGACAGAGTTCCAGCTGTTTTGCGTTTGATTGGCAGTCTTTACGTGGATTTAGGCAGTACCAGTGCACATTTATTTTTCTTTCTTACGCTTATGTCAGTCCAGCTCTAAAAATGACAACACGCTTATCAAGTCTGACTCATCTCAGCGACCGTATCGACTCCGATAGCTAAATGATCCATGTTATCGACAATAGACAGGGATAAAAGGAGCGTGGATCAATCCGGGGTCAATCAAATTAGTTATCAGTAAGGTACAAATCCCTCCATGTTTTCGTCAGCACGGTTCTTCCGCAACCAGAATCATTCAAGCCTGAGCACGATGGGGTTCCTATCCATCTCGCCCATTGTGTTAGAACAAGGCAACTGGTCAATGTTGATGGATTCTATTTAGATGCAAATCGACCGACACAGAACATAGATAGAGGTCCGCAGAATTTATTTTCGTTTTCATGCAGCAAAACTCCAAGAAGTAAACCTGCAGGATGGCACGTCATCGTGAAAGGTAATCCATGAAACCGACGCACTGGGAGACAGATGCGGTAAAATAGTTGGACAAAACAAGTATGTAACCCTGGCAGCGGCCTTGGTCGGACAGGAAATTCTGGCGGCACTGAAGTTCCCCATGAGGATCCCCCACTACAGTACAAAAAAAGATATCTCCGGTCCCGTAACTGGCTACTGCAATCCCAAAGACGAAAAACTACATATGCCGTTGACGAACGTTTGAGTGAACCTCAAACGGTCGGCACAATAAGCACGGATGATAAACTATTCTGCTAAATAAGTGGGTTCTCGTTGATTGTCCAGGACACCCACACAGAACAGTTCATTGGGACATGAAACAGTCACATTGGGGACAAAGAAATACACAACAGCTAAGTATGCATCGAATTCCCTGAATCCCATGCGGTGTTCCACGATATATCACTTTTCTGGTGGTATTATTGGAACTTAACTAGTGTAAAGAAAATTATTGGCCCCAAAAATACCTCAAAGGAGGGCTTAAAAACATTGTACAAGTTCACCGTGCTGCATCAGAAATACAGAAATATGGTAGGATTGAATATCTGGTGCATTCGCGTCCCACCTACGAAAAACGTCAGGAAGACCCAGATCCAACTGAGGTTTCATCAGGCCTGCGCAGAAAGCAGGAGGGATAATGACGATTGTTTTATATAGGTCCGAAGGCGTTGTTGCCTCAAGGGACCCTTTGGAGGATCGCTGTGAATTGAAAATCAATGGAAATGAGGCATATTATGACCAAAGGTGGTGTTCGATAGATACCACCTACGGCCAACTTACCTGAAGGGTGAGCAACGCCTGATTCAACTCGTGCACCGTATTTCCGTTCACCTGCTGCATAGCTGTTGCACGGTTAGGACAGTTTGCTAGAAATGCCTGCGCACGAGCGTGGAAACTTGCGGACAGGCAAAGTACTTGGGAACGATCTTCTAGTGCGGAGACAAAAGATTTCCATTCGTGTTCAATCTGAGCGGCCTGAAACGAACGGAGCGAATTCCGCTTACAATCATTTCAAATATCGAGTGAATAAAAAGGAAACGAGTGAGAACAAACAACAGAAAGCGGAATACGTGCCGTCTGTGAGAGAAACTCTTTCACAGTTTTCCCGGTTCTTCTAGGAGGTTAAGCTGCCCAACGTACATCTAGGTCAGTGAAATATAAACGATTACACCTGGGGGTCACTAGAAGAGGCCCGCGTGTTGAGTCTATAAGTACTGACATACTAACTAGACTGGTGGCAATTCTGCATTGGACTGACAAAACCTATTTACTTACATTAGGTTACATTAGTCTAGGGCCAGCATCCCAAGCAAATCACGAGGGTCATGTGACAAGATGTCTTTTCATTATAAAAGGATTAATCAAGACCGGGTAAGAAAAAAGTAAAACGGCCAACTTTATCCCGACGTAGTAACTATCTCCAAGCAAGACCCTTATGAAGAGAAGCCAACGCTAGGAACAAAAAACATCTCCACCAGCTATAACACAAGGCTCGTGTGTCTCCCAGGTTAGGCCACAAAGTTCTTTTACCTGTAATCACTTAAGGGATTACTGTAAAATCCCAATGAAACGTATGTCCCTTCCACCAAAGAGGGAGCCAACTCCCAGTACAGGACCTATAGTCAAGAGCCCCTTAGCACAAGTTTCCTAATACAGTCTCCAAGAATCACAATCACAGCTATTCGCAAGCTGGCACGCAGGTAATAGAAAACTACAGTTTAACACATCCATGAAAATTAGCCATTTTCCGCCGTCCAAAAGTGAAAAAAGCAAACAAATGCATTCAAAGCCGCTGATGGACATCCAAGTAAGTGGGAAAGTTGCGGTAGATGATGTCAGAGATTAGAACAACATTCACGTAAAATACCGCATAGAGAATGAGAGAGAGAGAGACAAACCGACTAACCTGCTTCAAAATTTGCTGACTAGCAAAGTGTCCAACATCCGCCAGAATACGAGCAACTCCGTTCAAACGAGCCACTGTGTCAAATGCAGCTGAACACGCTTCAACAAACTGTCGATGTTCAGCCAGCAAATCTGCGGCCTGAAAAAGACCGAAAGAGGGTCTCTCAGACCAAACATTGGAAGAACAGTGTGACCGGGAAACTCAGTGCGCGGGACACTAACAAGAGGTTTCGAAAACGGCTAGCAAGAATAACCAGGACAAGGAAGGTGAGCGGAGTGCTAAATGTGCAAAAATTTCCCTCATATCTCACTAAACCCTGGAAAGAACGGCTTTCACTGGAATACACTGTGCAAAATCTCAGTGGAGAATTATGCGTGCAAGCTTCATGCTGACATGATATGAAGAAGCAATACAACTCCTATGCCAGAGTAAACCTTCTGAAGAGACAACTACCTAGGAGAGTGGAGAAAACGTTTCCCCTGAAGAGGCAACCCTCTGACTCCGTAGAATCCGCGACTATGAACAGTAGGAGAAGATTTAAACCATTATCATAGGAAAAAAAGATTAGTTATCAAGCTGCTAATCACAATTTTGAACAAAGTAGCTAACCACATGACGACGACTTCCAAGCGATACGAAACCTGGCTGGATGACAACGTCAAAATCAAACCGGGAAACAATTGTAACCAGTACGTACGTTTTGAGCTCGTTGTAACGGAGGACACCAACCTCTGAGTCCTTGTGCACTCCATACGACCTCTTAGTTCGTTTGAGTCTGCATTATCTACCTTTTAATGATTGCTTATGGCAAGATACTTATGTAAGATTAAAAGATGATCATTAAGCTGTAACACCCTTTCGATGTTTGGCTCCCATGCCACCAGAAAGAAGCATAAGGGCTGGGATACTGCCAGGGTGCCCAAGTCTAGACAGTGGAAGTCGAGATACAGCGGTCGGGCTTGAACCACGGACCTTCAGGTCAGTGAATTCGCGCTCTAACCACTGAGTCATCTCGCCTACTTGTCAATTTGAATAAAAAAATGCCTCGAACACCAGAATACAAGTGCGTGAAATTCTTAGTGAAGGTAGAGCATTTCCCGTACAGTGCTTAGCTACCAGGCCACCCGATGGAAGCACGAAGGTTCAGATACCGCCAGGTTGACCAAGCCTAGACAAGAGTAGTCGAGGTGGTGAGCTCGAACCACAAACCTTATTAAGGTCAGCAGTTCTCAGGTTAACCAGTGAGCTATCTCGAGCTCATATATGATTTCAAAAAAAGGAGACGATGTTTGCATTGGAAAATATGGCATAGGAATTGACCCGAGAAGTGCACAGGTCTACTGCTGACGCTTCCGGTGGAGTGTGTAGATAGGATTATTGCATACAACCACATCGAATTCTGAACACCAAGAGGTTTGTAGAATATGTACTGTGCCGAGGCTAGTGAGTACATTGGGAAACGGAAAACCGACCTTTCAGACAGTGTCGATAATAAGGAAAACTGAACACAGTACAGAATCCAACAACTTACGTGACATGCTGTTTGACCAATATCCACATGTTCGGTCAAGAACAGATGACGTCGTTGACCAAGCCAAGTTGCCATTCGGTTAGCGTCTTCTTCAAACAGCCGTAGTTGGTAGATTTGTTCCAAATGAGATCTGACATCTTCCCACTTTTGTTGCAGATGCGTTCGGAATTCATTCAGAGTTGTGAATGTTCGACGGACTTGCGGAATAAGCTGTGACAAATGTCGGAAAGAAATGAGAATGCATATTTAACTTGCCTGAAGGTAGTTTATTCAAGGAAGGTCAGTCCCGAAAGTGCGACCGTAGATGTGCTCAAGGTAACATAACAGATTATGTAAGTGGCAACCATTCTCTTGAACGGAAACTAGTAGCGATTGGACAGCTGAGGTGTTTGTGGTACGATACAATGCCTGCAGAACGCTAAACCAATTGAATGGCATTCTGAGGATGCACAATAGTCAATCTAGAAAAACATAGAGCAAAGTCGTAGCATGAAGCAACACAACAGAATATCTACACGACCCTTTGTGTAATTGAAAAAAACGACACATGGCACAATCCTGAAAATTCGAAACCTGAATCGAATGTGGAACGCCGCAATTGTGCGTCCAAACATGAATTTCGCAGAGTTCGCCATCAAGCATGCATCAGTATTCGATCCGATGTTGGACAACCTGATAACAACCGTCGGCCAATGGCCTTTTTTCAGGAGCATTCGGATATTAAAGAAACCTCCCAAGAGATTTCTTCGACAGATGTTACCCTCTGTAGAATCCACAATAACTGCTCCACCAGGTGGGAACTAATGCGCCATTCCCCGGATTAGCCGTTCCAAGGAAGTCAAATACAAAAACCTCCAAGTGAGAGGTTCGAATCCCCGATGAGCTGGTCGCCAGCATTTGCCTGGGTTGGAGGTACCCTGTTGAACCTTACAAGGGACATACATGGAGGACAGTTAGAAAACCTCGTTCGCTTAGTGGAGCTTTTTATTAATGTCCACTGATGTACCGACACTGTCATCCTCTGAAGAAGGGAACAACAACCCTTTTGACTGGAGGAATCAGCACCACGTATGTAGGTGACCTCAATAAGTGAAACTCGGTGGACCCTTTCTACAAGTGGCAAACTTCTTGAAGAAAATCAAAGGGTTTGCCAATCCGAGACACTGTAGAGCAGCGGCAAATCATTAAATCTCAGATTTGGAGAGAGCGAAATCTCGCATTTCCGGATACAAAAATAGCTGAAGTGCATGCGAATCGATAAGGAAGCCCACACACACAGAGACTTGCACATGAACCTTTCGTGTCCACACACACAAAAAACATTAGCAATTCTGACGCAGTTCTGCAAAAGGAAGCAACGGAGTTCAGAAGTGAGATGAGATACATTGATTTCATATTCATCGGTGGCAGGCTAGCGAGATTCAACTTCTACTGTAACGCTTGCCGTCAATTGGTATGTCTGAGGACACTGTGTATTGCTGGAAAGAAAGGTTGCAGTTTACATGGTTGGCTCTCTTCTCGTGTGATGTGTGCAGCCGGACGAAACCAGTCCAAATGATTCGTATTCGGACATGCTTAAGTTCTCCCAAGGGGTACTCTTGTTGAGGGTGCTTCCTGCGACCAGTCTCTCCGTAGCGGCTGTTTATTGAATCAGACTATTGCTCCCCTTGATAGACTCCGTGATACGTCAGTGCAGTTTAACAAGGCTCAACGACTAAAGCACGAACTTACTGACCGTAAGGTCCGTAGTCCGGCACGGTACCTCGGCTTTCTACCCAATGTGTACCAGCTCACAATCAAAAGCTTTTCTTGCTTTGTATGTTGTTTCCAGTACGAGGCATTTCAAGGTGCACTCATGGTTCTATGATAACCAATCCCGATGACGCTGACTCCGAAGAAAAGGCTGAGAAATAACGTTGACTTAAGGAACCTCAGTCGGATTCGTCGATCGACAAAGTAATGATACAGATAAAAAGATAACGATAGCCGTTCAGCTGTAGTACTCTTTCGGTGCCTAGCTACACTGCCAACGGAAGGAGGTACGAGGACTTGGATACTGCCAGGTCGTCCAAGCCTAGACAGGAACAGTCGAGATTCTGAGGTTGGGTTCGAACAACAGGCCTTCCGGTCCGTAAGCCGGAGCCTTAACCACTGAGCTGTCTCGATCGCAGCCGAAATCCCAAGGTTTATGGAGGCTCATTCCGCATGCTCCTCAGATGGTATTACGAATATCTAGTGCACTCAGTACCATCGATCTTTGTTGATGAGAGCCAGCTGGTCATCTGCTGCATCAACTACTGTTATTGCAACATGTCGAAGCTCATGTTGCCTAGTGGTTCAGATACCGCCTGTCGAGGAGAGTGGAGATGATGGCTAAGTGTCCGATGACAGGCTGATGAAGCCCAAATCATAGAGACAAACCACCTTCACATCAAACTCAGAATGCCATACCGGAGGAGAGATTCAATGAATCAGACTTTTATCGCCCACAGATGACCGAACACCACAAAGGAGAGAGAAGTTTCTATTAACAGCTGACAAGCGTGACAGCCCCGACTGCGCATTCTCTGGTATGTAGGAAACACTGATCAAGCTAGTATGACCTCAAGGCCCCATCAATTGACAGCTGACAACAACAAAAGACTTCGAATGAGTCAGCAGCAGAACTTTCCGAACTTGGAACTAACGCACGCGTGAAGACAAGGTGCTTATTTAATTCCTTGCAGTCTGTGTTCACGCAGTGATATACAACGCTTCACAAGGTTGCTTTCACTATGTGCAGCTTTCGTCAACCGAATTCGGTCGATAGGGTATTTAAGTTTATTAAATCCGGTTTACAGTGGAAATAAACGAATCTCTGCATCCGCTTATAAAACAACTACCATATGGATAGAAAATGAGTAGCAGTCACGAACCTTCTGAAAATCTGGATTCATTGAAACCCAAGAGGTTGACAGAAACGAGGCACCGCCAGCACCTGCAGCATTCATCGCTGATGTCGAGGCCGGAAAGGACTGGGAACCACCGGCATTAGTGCCGGTTACTGTTGCGGCAGTCATCCCAAAGAGCAGCCAGGTCGTGAGACGATCTGCTTCGGCCTCGATAGCTGAGACAGGAGCTTGAACAATCTGAGCATAATAAAGGCAAACAATGGAAAAGGGATAGCCCCATAAAAATCACGAACTAAGTTCAGGCCCCGAAGAAGCAATAGACAAAGTAACGATTTTTCATTACAATCGGAGGATATCGTCTAGACAGTACCTCGCCTCTTTCAGTGATACCGTGTAAGGTAAGGCAAGCATGTGTGTGCGTGCCGACAACACGGGAAAATGGAGAGGAACTTGTAGTGACATTTACCGGCAGACAACACCGGATTTTCGAACGCAGTGGGTGGAGGAGACTGAGGCAGTTAACAGCGTGACAGTTCCTTCTTAGGTCAGTCGGCAATGCAGCCCGAACAGTCGGGATCAGCTGAAGACACACTACAACTTGCGGTTCAGCAGAGAGAGNTGTTGCTGCTTGAACAGGTTCGCACAAAATGACATTTACGTGTGGAAATGTATTCGCACAATCCATAGGAATAACAAATGGTGTTAGGCTTTTACAGAAATCCTGATGCTCGGTTGTTTGCGACGTTTTGCCAATATATCACTACCACATGGCCACTCAGCGATGACAGATGACGAAAAAGTAGGAAAGTCTGGAAGGATGTCCGATAAGAGTGCACAAAAGAATGGAATCCAGTTCGACGAGGGTACATGTAAATACAGTGGTAGCCCAATAAATACCCCACACAGAAAATCACTTGGTACCGTGAAGTGCATGCACTATTATGTTAAGGAAAAAATACAACCTACCTCCCAACAGAAGTCTCTCCCCTGTTCGACTAAAAAACGTGTCTACCACCAGAAGCGTGGGATATTCGACTGCATTGATTGCCAATTGATGAACATATGCGGCGCCGAGTAACAACTTGACCTTTCAGCCCATCATGGTACAAATTGCCGCTACGACACGTAGTGGAAGGTTAGGATTCAACTGCTCTTGTTTAGACTTGGACAACTTGGCGGAGCAACCCAAGTAACTCAAACTAAATGGTTTCAAACGGTGGTTAACCATCTCGCCTGCAAGTAGCTAAATTTCGACAAGTAGTTCATTCACCTTCTAGTAAATACCGGAAATCCGTCGTAAAAACACTCGCTAAGTAGAGACGGCCTCTGCGTTTGTTTTCGCGATATCTTTGGGCCCAAAACATGGGGTGAAAAAGTGGTAAATGAAACAGTAGTTGAGTAATCCGGATGACACTCACGCCTCTCACTTTTAGAGCGTCACCGCCCTCCAATGTTGCTGCGGCGTAAACGGGTCTGCATAACTAACGATGCTCCGGGATGGAAGCAGAGAAACACTTAAATGCAGTAGTGATGATGAAAATACCGTTTTCTAAAGTGTAAGATAGGCTCAGTCCCGATGCGGCTGAACAAAGTGCGTAACCAGGTAATACGATTTCGGCGGCGTCCTACTAAGTATGTGGCAATTATTTCGTTCTATGACACTCTGTTCGAAGTTATAAAGCTCGTCAAAGCAGAGGATGTCCAAATAAAACATCGGGGGAAGTGGCAGTTGTGGGACGTGACCTTCAGAAAGTGGTTGAAAGACACGTTCAGGGCACTTTCAAAGTAACCTAAGTGCTAAAACCATGGTGTTCACAATTAGACCCGTTAAACAGGAATACGCAAGGACAGCGTCTTGTACAACCACACACCTGTTTGCAAATGCTACGCGAGTGTAGACCACGCTTTTTCATGCAAGACCGATAGTTCCGCCACACCAACATCCCGACATCCCACATGGAATCCACGTGCATCTCACAGCCAAGTTCACAGGTTAGCTGATGTTCGGAACAGAACTATATGGTGGAAGATTTGTTGGTTAAATTTTGATAATTGTTCTACCTTCTAGAAGTCTAATTGGGTCGTGAGTTTGGCCGTTATTCTGGCGGTAATTTAACTATGAAATTGGACCATACTCATCTGGCTCTATGTTAACTCATATGCTCACGTACCGTAAACACAAAACAGTAAACCTTTAGCCAGCCAGTTAACTGTGACTTCATACCATCATTCAGCTACAAACTGTGTGAAGAAGTACAGTGGTCCCGGCTGTTACGGCTTCGTTCACCGAGAACAAAAAGAATAAGGTAACGGCTTAGCCATTCAATCGACCTTAAGCAGTTTCATTGCCCAATATGGCATGGAGTCAGAGGGCTACGCATTGAAGGCAATATCTTTGATGCGGGATCGCCACTGGCTGCGTGACAGCCACATTTGTTATGGTTTGTCTCATCCCGGGGTCCCCATTCAAGGAGACGGCTGACTTGACTGGTAAGGGCTTCCATGCTTCATGCTTTCCAATTGGCGATTGACCGCCCCTGGGTCATCTCCAGCCGACACAAGGGTTAATGAATAGGTGAAAACATCCTACTCCACAGAACAAGATTCGTCGAATGAAATATTACTGATTTTAAGAAGAAAATTAGTCTACGAAGGGATAGACGGAGAGAAACAGATCGTGTGCAATGGGTTATGATTGTTGTTTCCGATTGTTCTTGTTCAGCCTTAGGTAGCCTGGTATTATCACATCCCTCATGTACCCTCCGAGTGGTACGGCAGTTACGCGTCGAAAGGGTGTCACGGATGAACCATTATTATAGTTTGTTAATGTTGAATACGTTGTCACTGAACTACATTTAGATTATTATGGTTTGCAGCTAAAATGACACAACGGAGAAGTGGTTGCAGCCAAACTTTTGTGGATTTTATCGAAACCTCGTGAACGCGAACGCTGTGAAATTTAAGATAGTTCTTGCGACAGTAAAGGCGTGCCTATCTGCCTGTGTGAACAAACCTTTTCAAGGATGAACTGCCCGGATACCTTGTCCACTGACCACTTAGGCTCGAACTGCAAAACTGCACAAAGCCTGATCGTATGTAAGAATGGGTCAGTTTTACTGGCCTCGCCACTCATCACTATCATCGTCGCTGGCAACACCAGTGTAAAATACTACGGACTCATGACCGTCAATTTAAATCGCCTATACCAACTAGGGGAGAAGGAGTTGTCTAGTGCTAGTCCAACATGAAAAATTCGAGGTGATTACTGCACAAACACCGGTTCATTCAATATGCTTTACGAAGCAGCGTTCTTACGGGGATTTACAGATGTATGTTTTTTGTGTGCACACGCAGAGCTAAATCTGATATGCTCATATCATTTTCCATCCGACCCATCGAGCTATACCTGAGGGGCAAAACTGGTCCCACAGTTTAGAAATTTTCGTTCTAGATGGCCAGAAGAACTAAAGATTAAAAAAAGGCGGACTCCTTTGAAAGCCATATATACTAAAATTTCCAATAAATTAGAGCATACATAATTACAACCTACCTTTGAGCGTAAAGATCGATGTTCTTCCAAAGCGAGTTTGGCTCGTTCTACTGTATCCAAGTCTGGCTTACGCTTCAGCAGATTGAACAGATGTCCGAATTGATCCATCATATCTTGGGCGGAGAAGAAAAACTCCTCAACACAGCACCGGATCTTTATCCATTCCTCATGATGATAGGGTAATGTGCCCTGGAAAAAATGGTCAAGCGACGTGGAGGCGAATGTTACACGCACAAAGATCAAATACATGAGAGGTAGCAGACTCCAACGGATTGGACACCTTCAGAATAAAAGTACATTGAGTTCCAAGCAGCTTGTGGGTATATTCATTGAGTCATCTGAAGAGTACCCTGATATCTTCACAAGTCCAACCGCAAAAAAACGATTACGAACAAGTGAGGGAACTATGGAGCGACACCGTAAAATAAAAAAACCCAAATTAGCATATAAAGTCAATACAGTTCAAAGGACTGGACTTCAGTTCACTGTGTAGAGACCGAAACTTACTAGTAAGCACGACATGGTATAACAGTTAAGATGTGAGAGTCTGTGGTTCGAACCGACTTGGGTTCACGATTGCTCCTGTTTATGCTTGAACAACCCAGCGGTAGCTAAGCTCTCGTGCCTCTACTAAGTTGCACTACAAGATTGTCGCAGCCAAACCATCATTTATCACTTATTGAACGTTGTCATTTGTGACGATCCATTAATTGCAGTGATCAGGTTGTAGTGATCTGTAGTCGGATTCGGTTAAGTGTAGCCTTCGCGTACTGGGCCCACAACATGGAGCGAGTCCGAATAACTTGTGTTCCTCAAGCTATTCTGGGCTTTTCGATGAATGTGGTCTGTTCTGTGACTAACGGTGCAGCTTACCCGGATTAATACCTAACGGCACCAAAATGAAGCCAGCTAGACGACATTCGGGGATGAGTACCGTCGTTAACAAAGATGAAAATGTTGAAGAAAATTTGACCGTGGCATACTGCCAGTATATTGCTGTTAGGCGACCCGATGAAAGCACAGCGTGAGAGATACAGTAGAGTTGCGCATTTTGAGACACGAGCCACGGACCCCAAGGTCAGTAGCTGGCATCTTAAGCACGAGTAACGTAACACATCACCTGAACAAGGCAAATAAAGGCTTTCGTGACAATGGTGTTACTTCTTATACTAGGCACAGAAGCATAGCTCTAAATTCGTGAAGTGTTTGGGATATTGGCACCACCATCATCATCATCGGTAGTAGTCGAACAGCAATCTGTACTGGTGCATGATCACTCCTTGGGGAATGTTCTAGTTATGAGAGCCAATATACGTCACGTAAGACGCTGGTTGCCGACGGGGTCAGTATGCGTGACGGGTATAGGTGCACGTTTTATCCACCAACGACACTAGACTGGAAAGGCCAAGCCTCATAAAAATAAGGCCTTACGCATCGCACAGAGGCACTGTTTGCAGGGAACTTCAGCTCCAGTGAAACGTCCATCGCTCCAAAACGAGACAGGCCAGTATAGAATCCTGTCACTTTGAAAACTGCATAACTACTGTATTGAACGAGTATTCGAACTACTATGGATGAGACAAAATTTCGCTTCCCACACCCTAATCACGTCATTCTAGGACACACTGATGGTCAAGGCTTTCAGGCAAAAATGTCTCAAAAATGTCCTTCCCCCAACCGAAAAGGGGCACTGACAATGAGAAAAAGATTGCACAGACTGGGTGGCAAGCCAAACAAACCACGACCATTAGTGAATCCCTCACTCCAGTCTGCATCGCAAGAAAATGGATGATTAGGAGACAGATTTTTATGAACTAAGACAAAACCGCATACTTCAGAGAATCGGCAACGTCTACAGAATGCTGAGACAGCTTTGAATTGCTCGACTTCAATGGAAGATGACCAGAAATAAGGTTGGCCAGTAGTGTCTTAGACCAAAGAGAAATCCGAAGAGTCACTGTTGCATTACGAACATTAGAGAAGGGAATGCTTTCACAGCGAATATCATTGAGGTGTGATTCCACGAATCCTTGTGAAAACATTTTGAGGATGGAAAAACCGAAAAAAAGAGACACCTAGACGGGCACGATCAGCTCAATTATCACCACAAACTTACCTCTAGTTCTGCAGTTAACTGACTCGGATCGACTTCGCGGAATAGCGTGGCCAAGGAGACTAGTTGGATTTCGAAATTGAACTTGCCGATTTGCATGTTTGCTTTGTGTTTTTCGAAAAAGTTATCCGGTTTGATTATGTAGGTTATTGCAACGTTGGGTACAACGCACTGTTCCACAGCCTACAAGGAGAGGAGAGACGGCAAATAGGTGCGCAGGTTAGAAGGATTAGATGGATGGGCTACAGAGGGGGACCGAAAGACTCACGTCAGTTTTGCTTCAGTATTCGACCATAACAGGATAAACAGTCCAACCGCTCAGCTATGGCGAGCAGCGTCCTAAGGCGCCACAGCCATGTACAGTGTGCCAACCATAGACACCAATTTTAGACGACCGTGCTCAACTGTCGCGAAAACAATAAGTACAGAAACGGAGGACAACTGGCACTAGCCCTGCACCAATAATCAACGGTGTCTACACACATGAAAGTCCACTCGGGTGATATAAACAGAAAGGCCAGCGAGTTTTCAGATGTTTACGTTAGGCTAGCACCAGGTCACTACCGTATCCAGTTTTTCTCTTTTCACTTAAATATTAAAAAAAGATTCAGCGGTAGCCCACCTTCAGGGCTTAGCTGCCATGCCACCCGGAGGAAGCACGAGGGCTGTGATACTGCCAGGTTGCCCAAGCCTAGACAGGGGAAGTCGAGTGGCAGAGGTCAGGCTCGAAACACGGACCTTTCGGTCAGTAAATTAGCCCTCTAACCACTGAGCCATCTCGCCCGCCCCCTAAATATAATCAGGCCTTGTGGTTGTGAGACGGTGAAGCACCAGTGCCAACACTGATGTTGCTGTCTCCGAGGTTGGTGATGGAAGCACCCTGTAGTGAGATAATCCAGCCGGTGGCTGAGTGTTCACTGGCTTACCTTTACCCTCTGGTCTTTCTATCATGGTTGAATGTCAGAAAAGTTCCCGTCAGCGTAGTCCGCTAGGTTACTGCAGCCCTCAAGCCTGAAGGTCGAATGAGTGATGCAGTTCTTGATTAGAATACGGTGGTTGGACTAGTATAGTGTGATAAAATCTGGCTTTATTTGGGGTGGTAGAGTGCACGATCGAATTTCGGTTTTGCACGAGTTCAGTAAACCCCATACTTTGATGTTGCAGGCTTTGAGCAAGGGGTATTTCCTGACTCTATCTGCAGAGTAAGAATGTGGAAAGCCAGCACATAGGTCGGATCCCCGGTTCAAAGTATTCTGAGATCAGTTGGTAATGCACTGGTATCGAAATAGTCGACCAACCCAAAAACATCCGGCTGCATACTGAAGAGATTAACGAAATGCACTGATAAGCATGGAGCTGTGGGGAAAGAGAAGTGATAATCTCCCAGTTATCCAGGTCAAGAAGAGTTTGGTTGACGAGTTACTTCCTAAGCTTTTTACTAGAAGTCTGTGAGAGAAGAGAGGTGTTTGCTGCCGAGGGCTACTACCATTGAGACTGCTAGTAGCTCAGATTTTATAGTTTGTCGACGGTTTGTTCTTTAAGCCTGCTAATTAGGATGTAAATGTTTTAGCACCAGTCGAGGTGCATTGTTGTGACATGAAGTTGTGTTCCTAACCCTTTTCTAAACGGACTGACCTGAAAAGGGGCAACAAATGTGGGGTCTTCTAAGGAACCCTACTCAGAACTGACTCAAAGGCCGGGACCGATTGGCTTTGGGTGATAGTCTATGCAGAAGAAACAGAGAAAACTCCTAATACTACTGCGCGCAATTCATGTGCTCGGGACCGCATTAGATCCTCTGTTTGGAATATCTACGGATCCCAGCAAGCAGCCGAGAAAGCAGATGGTACGTCAGTTGCAGTGTGGGACTCGTGTGATTAGTCTGCTATAAACGCTTGTAGAAGTTGGGTGTGAGTAGCACCCATTTTTGCACGAGGCTGGGCCTATCTTTTACACGGTCAAGTGACGTCTGCGGGGTAGTAGGAAGGTCGCATTATTATCATCATCAGACGGCTATTCGCCGACTAACCTTGTATGAGAACCTAAGAAGGTCATGCGGCATTTCCCACTACATCGCAATGGGGTAACTGAGACATGCGAACTCAAACCGCGAGATAGTGGAAGACGTAATTGAGGAACCAGTTACACAGTGGTCATGGTGCTAGTCACCATTCTAATTGTTTGAGTAAATGTGATTCTACGTTTGTGTCTGGATAGCAGCAGCCTCCTTCCACGGCTTTACCAACGTCCACGGGAGGCGCATGGAACTCTTATCAGGGATAACAACTTAGTAATATTCTTAGACTGAATTTGCTGCACAAATGCTTGTGGTCGAACATACCACTCATGAGGTTACTGAAAACTCATCAGTAGCTCATTTTCGGTTTCGATCTTTTTACAGCTCATCAAGTAGATAACCCACAGATTTAGCTGGGACGAGATGGCTCAGCGGTTAGAACGCTAATTTATTGACCGGAATGTGTGGTTGCATGTGCAATTCATGATTGCACGTGGGCTGGGATACTGCCATGGCGCCCACACCTAGACAGGAAGACGATTAGGGTCCCCAACCAAAGCCTTTGGCTCAAAAGCCTAACCGCAAGGCAGCGGTGTTTGGCGGGAAATGCAAATGCATTACCATTTCTACGGAACAAGTCGCTACATGTTCCAACCCCCAACCTGGAGGGCCAGGAGACTGTGTTCGTCAGACCTCTAAACATTGACCAACCTGGTATGGGAGACTCTGTGAGTGACACAGGACACTCTCCAGTAGAGCTCAATGGATCGCTGAGGTGCGCAAACCGTCACATCACGGTAAGGTCCAGTCTCTTCGTGACGGACCGGAATGTGCGTGGTTCGAACCCAACTTCTGCATCTCGACCTTTTCTGTCTAAGCTTGGGCAATCAGGCATTCCGGTCCTCGTGCGTTCTTCGGGTGACATGGCTGTCAGGCACTGTCACAGCTGAACGATTATCTTTTTTTATTATTTATCCGCAGATTGGGTTAAGCCTCTCGTTAACAGTAACGTAATGTGCAAATGAGAGCATTCAGTCAATTGCGTCCGACTTGGTGTTCAAGAGAGCACAAGGTTGATGGAAACTAGGGAACTACGCCTGCACAATGAGCCCGAAGGATGAAGCTGGTAGTGGGCTATCGGGGAATATTTAGTGCGTTATTTTATGGAAACTCACGCGCAGTGGTAGAGGGCTGGGGCCTCTGTAGGTATATACTTACTTGTCGCCATCCAAAAACTACTCACATACAGAAACACAAAATCTAACGAAGCAAAGCTTCCAAAAAGGGAAGTCTCACCCCCGAGGACACGTTCGCTGTTTCCTACGAACTATTAACAGCTCATGGAAGAAACAAGGACACACTCAGACCGAAAATTTGTCTACTCCACAGTGAATAATACGTGCCTTCGGCTGACGGTCACACACTTATGGCCGGAAGTTCGTCGTATTGAGTTACAGAAAGTAAATGGGTTAAGATGAATGTCTCGAGGACCTTTTAGGACTGCAGAAACTGGCGCTACCCATAAATTACCTGCTGTCCGCGTTAGGTGACGGACAGTTACATCTGACTCCCCCGGGCCAGACAAGCCTACAACAGCCAAACTGTTAGACTGTTAGGTTATTGGCTCCGGTGGGGTCCCAGAAAAGGATCCTAACATCCATGGTCCCGCTGCTTAGACTCTAAAGTCAGAAGCTACGGGTATGGTCTCAGAAACAAAACCCTACCTTCTCCCACTGCCTTGTGGGTCAAAATGTAGAGCCAACGGCTCAAAGTAAAACATACCAAACAAACCCTCTTCTTCGGCCTGGGAAGAGGTAACGAGAACACCGGACCACACAGCTTAGGACAACGACCAGTTTCCTTGGCTTGTCAGCCCCTTGTGACAATCCAACCCCGTGGCTCTATAAATTCAATATAGATTCCTAGCTCTCCTACTAGAAAAACAAAACCAAAACATGAACCATTAACACAAAGGAATCTGCTCAGTGTACCATGACTGTTGTCTGATTATTATATTATCTATAGTATATAGTATATATACTATACTATACTACACACTATATAGTATAGTACACTCGTACTGAGTCATGTGCATTCCGGCTCATCCATACGTGTTCTTGGACAAGCGTTGTTTATCCTCGATAATTCGGACTCTCTTCTAACTCGTTCTAGGACGAATTCTAGACGTCACAATCTACTTGTCAGAGAATAGAATGGATCCACAGCTACGACCTCGGTTCTTCAACGGCGGCCCAAACTCCGCAGACGAAGTGCTGGTCTCGTACTTTCGACACCTACCTGATAACTGTCAAATCCTCCAAACCTGTACCAAGCATACCAACTTGCAAGATCCCTCGAGTTGGCTCGCAATAAGCATTTTTCGCTAACTTAACCCCAGACCGCAATCCTATTGCCACCAGATCAATACATCTGGAAGATGAATAATCCATTCGTGTCGAGGTTGATCGCTTATTCCAAGAAGGAATAATCCTGCCGTCAAAGTCTCCCTGGAGAGCGCAAGTTTTGGTTACCAAGAGCGTCAGTCATAGATGCCGGATGGCTGTTGACTACAGCCGACTCACATGTATAGACGCTTACCCTCTGCAACGCCTAGACAAAATGATGGTGGAAATTCTGCACTACGAAGTTTACAGTCCAAGAGGCCTCATGACTGCTTATCATCAAGCCCCGATCTCGATATCCGACAATCCTTTTACAGCATTCGAAGTCTGTGGTGGATTGTTTCAGTTTCGTCGCATGCCCTTCAGTATCAGAAACGGCGTAGATGTTTCAAGTGAACTATTAACAATATCCGAAAGGTTAAAAAGCACGTGTGCCTACACAAACAGTGGTTGTCTGTAGCAATACCTGAGGGGACGATGACCTTAACCTCGATTCGCTTTTAAAAGCTATAACGAAGTATGACATCATACTCAATAAGACCCTCACGGCTTCAAAAGTTAACAGCAGAATATAGGATAAGGTATGGTAAAGTGAGTAAACTAAACAGATGAGGGAGGCCAAGTGAGAAAAATCGCTCGCCTAATCGAGGCTGTGGTGTACGCATGTTAGCGAAATCATTCGTGAAGTTTACATATCGTTTACTACCAACTGTCCGTCGAAGGACCGAGTGTACACGGTGGCGGTGCACCGCCTACTGCTCTATGGATCAGAAACTTGGCATCGACGCTCAGCGCCTGAACATCGGTCTCTCCGATGCATTATCCAGGTCGGATTGGAACATCAGTTCAGTAATGCTGAGTTGCGCCATACGGTTTCAGCAAGGTTGTCATGATGGATGAGCTGCTTAATTTTCATGGTTTGTGCTGGTTAGGACATGTAGTTCATATGCCAGAAGACCATCTGCTTCGCAGAGCTCATTTTGCCCAACCATGTTCCAAGTGGAACCGACATGGCATATGAGTATAAAAGTATTAACCAGCAAATTCAGCATAACTGAGGAATAGCTTCTTTGGATGGGAACCCCGGGACTCAATTCATCAATGGTTACTGACACTGGCAGACACGGCTCAACCACGAAACAATCGGTGCTTTTGGAACAAAGTTATCGTCTTTAATGTGTAGCCAAGTTTGTCGTTGCTTGAAAAATGAGGACGTCATCACCGCTGTTTGGCTTAATCTCCCAGCCTTCCGGTTTTCCAAGGACAGGAACTAACGCACTCTTGGTAAGCGGTTTACAGATAGTAAACTAAACTAAAGCGATGGCTGTACCGTCCACGAAGTGAAAGCATGGATAGTGAAAGCGAGGGCAGTATTCTCTAGGCGGGGCACTCGTGTAAACTACGGGACGTCTGTCTCGTGAAGAGATGAACCTACGACACACTGATTCAAAAGGCGCTACCTCATAGTTATGGACGCTGACGTAAAAGCATGATAACGCACTGTATGCGATATCAAGATCGCTCAGTTGTTAAGGCATGAACTTGATGGCCGGAATGTCGGCGGTTCAAACTAAAACTTAGCATCGCAAATGCTCCCGTAGAGACTTGGGGAATCTGCCAATATTTCAGCCTCCGTAATTTCTTCATGTGGTACGGCAGCTAAACACTAAAAGGGTGTTACAGCTGATTTACAGCTTGATATCATGTGCTAGACTGTGAACATACATGGTTGTCTCTCCGAATAGATCAACAGGAGATATACGTCAGTACAGAGCGCAATGGCAGTCTGCGAACGCATGATCCATAGTTACTTTCAATCAATTGAAAAAAAGTTTGGAACCGATTGGTGGTCATCATTTCAGAAGGGCTGTAGTTTTTTTTATTTTTTTTTTTAGGCAACGTTTCGCCTTTGACAAAAAGCTTCACCAGACCAAGTGAGCAGGTCACCAAATTGGCCAGGTTATAAGACAGACGGAGGACCAAGCACTAAGTCCTCTTCAGATTATCACACCAGATCACTGTTGAGTGTTAATTAACGGCTCTTTTCGGTTAGTGTGGCTGTCTAATTCTTGCTTTGTGTGTTAGGGGAGTTTCAAATTGATTCTGATCGGGTTTGGTTCCTTGATCTTTAAATTTGAACAGAGGTTTGGCCAGATCGCCATACCCAACTAAGATATTCTGGCGTTATGTAGATGACACTTTCGTCGTGATGAGACAAGACAAGGTTAGTGAGTTTTACAACTATCTGAATGAACTGAGTCCACACATCAAAAATAGTATGAGGTCTGGAGAAACTAATGACCACAGTATATGAGAAGCCAACTGACACTGGGGCAGTTTAGAACTACTCGTCTGTCCATTCAAAATCGGTATTCGCTGGTAAATTCTTGCGTGTTAGGGGAGTTTCAAATTGATTCTGATCGGGTTTGGTTCCTTGATCTTTAAATTTGAACAGAGGTTTGGCCAGATCGCCATACCCAACTAAGATATTCTGGCGTTATGTAGATGACACTTTCGTCGTGATGAGACAAGACAAGGTTAGTGAGTTTTACAACTATCTGAATGAACTGAGTCCACACATCAAAAATAGTATGAGGTCTGGAGAAACTAATGACCACAGTATATGAGAAGCCAACTGACACTGGGGCAGTTTAGAACTACTCGTCTGTCCATTCAAAATCGGTATTCGCTGGTATTGCTTCATCAATGTTTAGGCTCTGTGCACAGAAGCTGATCGGACAGCCGCCCCAGTTGAAGCAAAAAAGCAAACTGTGGTGTAAAGGATACCCCTTTAGTTTTACTAGACGTCAATTACGAAGGGTGCTGGTACCGGTGGCGAAACCCAACAGGGAATGGATCGGGACCGCTGTCATTCCATATAAACCAGGTACAACGGAGGTCATTCGAAGGTTTCTAAACACGGCCAACATAAGAGTGGCTTTCCAGAGGGGAAACACTCTACGCTCTGCAATGGTGCAAATGAAGGATCGCCTCCAAGCAAACAGAACTAAGGGCTGTATACGAAGCCAAGTGTCGCGACTGCATTAAAGTCTATATAGCACTCACGGCCAGGGGACTTCACACCAGAATCGAAAAGCATAACGGGGAAATAAACAGGCCGCCGAGAAACGCAAAAGAATATCCAGCGTTACTAAAAGACTCTGGAATCGAAAAACATGTAATGGGCACGGTATACAAAATAGATTTATAAAATGGTGAGGTTTTGAGGCGTCACAGAGACAGACGGCCCAGGCGGTAGAAATTGCCAAGCATCCCAGTGTTAACAGAATGAAAAGCGTGGAACTGTCAAGCGTGTGGAGAACGGTTTTGGATCAGTCGAGCTGACAGGTGTTGGTGTGCGGTCATCAGTAGTCATCAACTGAATTCATTCGACCGCAACCCCGCCCCCCCCCCCAACCCCCAAAAAAAAAAAAAACTAAATTGTCGCAGCACTCACAACCCCACAAAGGCCAAGAAAAATCTACCTGTGGTACAAGACCGAAGTACCCTGAAGTCGGAGATCAAGGGACCAAACCCGATCAGAATCAATTTGAAACTCCCCTAACACACAAAGCAAGAATTAGACAACCACACTAACCGAAAAGAGCCGTTAATTACCACTCAACACTGATCTGGTGTGATAAGCTGAAGAGGACTTAGTGCTTGGTTCTCCGTCTGTCTTATAACCTGGCCAATTTGGTGACCTGCTCACTTGGTCTGATGAAGCTTTTGTGTCAAAGGCAAAACATTGCCCAAATAAAAAGCTAGACTGTTTATCAAGCCCTTCCGAAATGAAAACACAATGGCATGCCTTTCGAGGGATGACCGACACTGTACAGAAGCCCACATGTAATCAGATGAGTTCCAAAATTCGAGGGGAACCAGCCGCTGAGGTGAGGTTATGAGAACAAGAGGGATTCTGTAATGTCCGTCTATTCCAGTTACTGGCTGCAAGCAATCATCTGGCATGTTGGTCAGTGGCAAGCAACGGCCCCTTGTCACAATTAACTAGTTCCCAACAGCCTTTATTTCATCGCAACATAAGTGACGAAAGGAACACATCCAGATATCACATGCTTAAAATTTCGTTCAGCCACCGGAGAACAGATTAGTATCATGACGGAACTGAAGACGATGACCATCAAAATTAATATTTACCTGCACTGACGCCAAGCAGTCTCTTCAATCCAGACTAATAATTGAAAACCGAGCAAGTAACAATTCCTTACTGCCCCAAGTTCCAACTCGTAGGCACGGCAGGCACATTCAGTGTACATGAGCTGTTTCTACTCGAATTTATTAGAAATCTCCGTTTCCAGATACTGGTGTAAATATGCCGAAACCAACCAATGAAGGTTCCTCTGAATAACAAGCGAATCTAACACTAAGGTTCTGTGGACACACCACAACCGAAATTTCGTGACTTACCCTGAGTATTGGCTTGACGTTATTCCACGTAGTCCCGTTTCGCATGTCAACGATGACAGAAAATCCAGCTTTTTTTACACTTTCATCGGGCAAGTATGTCAAATAACAAACAAGTAAACAAAGGTCGTCATACGGAATGTCATGGGCACGCGAGTTTGACGGAAAACACAGCAAAGGACCACCTTGTCTGGACCTCCCTCCAGGTAGTAGGGCAATCTTTTCTCTCAGCAGCTTGACGTGATCACGTGCACGCAGGTGCGTTTTTCGACTGCTAACTGAACTAACACCGACACTGTGAGCGGTAGACCCCGCGGTACAATACCCACTAGAGGAGTTCAGCGTACTTACGCTACTGCCACAAGTGCTTGGCAAAGCCTGGACTGGGCTGATGGAAGACCGATATCGATGTCCAGAATGATGATGGAAATGTTCAGAGGCACCGAAACGCTGTTGTGCATGCTGTGGTGGTGCGTGCTGCGGAGCACCGTGATAAGTCTTACTTGTGTTATGAGCACTTGACTGACTTTGTGACGCACCTGCGTTTGAACAAACAGGTTGAGAGTGTCTATAAGCCCCAGGCTGCGCTTGTTGATGAGATCCAGGATGGGTGCCGTGGAGGCGTTGAGGGTGTGGTTGGTGTGTGTGGTGGTGGGCATGACATCGGGCATTTTTTGACCTGTTTGGACAGTAGAATTCCAGAACTTCGGGGTCAAGACTGCTGTTGCTGTAGTTCATCCCACAAAACGATTGGAATGTAACTCAGCGGGTTCGAACGGTAAAATAATCACGTGTTTGGTACATCCGAATGCAAAACGCATGTCACATAATATGGGGACTAACAGTCGGTAGTTATGGACAGCAAAATTGTAATTCCGCTAGTATTCATCTATTTATTGGTTGATGCCGGGACGCGGGAAGAGAAAACAGGGAAAACGAAAGGCGATCCGCCAGCATCCCCAAGGGAAATTGCCCGCCGATTAGTTTGAAGTTGTTTATCCACGCCACTCGTTCAGTTCACCTCACGGAATCACGGATTCACGGATTGATACGCGGGAAGAGCAGGGAAAACGAAAGGCGATCCGCCAGCATCCCCAAGGGAAATTGCCCGCCGATTAGTTTGAAGTTGTTTATCCACGCCAGCCACCCAGTTCACCTCACGGAATCACGTATTCACGGATTGATACACAGGATCGAGGCTTTTGCCCAAGTTTCCCGGGTCGGTTTTGTTCTTG